GGCGATGGCTGAGATATTGTACAGGAGTCAATGTAAACAATAAAGCGTCCTCCGAGAGGGCTTTGCTAGAGACCGAAAAAACAGTTGCTTTGTACAAAAATGCCCTTAAAACAACAGATTTCTAAAACCCCTCTACCGGCTTCTCAGCTGCCGAGTGCCCCAGAGGTGCTGCTCCCCGTGGTGCTCAGCAGGTCACGAGAAGTTCTCGCGGGGCGGCCATGGGGACCAGGAGCGAGCCACCATCCACCTGCGAGCCACCAGCACGGAGAAGGGACAGCCATCACCAGAGGCCTCTGATTCCAGTGGTTTGGTGGCTTCATTGCCCAGGCACCGGCCAAGGAGGACGCAGGGCTCGCCAAGAGCCACCTGCGACCTGCCCCTCCAGCCTGTTTCCCTTCCTGCCATCCAGGTCAGAGCCTCCAGACCTCCAAGGTCTTCATCACTCTGCAAGAGAACCACCTTCCCTGCCTCTTTCTGCCTGTCCACAGCCTTCCCAGAGAAAAACCACGGTTGTGCTGAGCCAGAGCCAAGGATGAAGGGACAACGAAGCACCTCCCTGCGAGGGTCTCTGCCCCTTCACTGCTGTCCCCAGCTGAAGCACCCAGACAGCACAGAGTACTGAAGGAAGCAGCGGCTCTGGTCTGCATCAAGAGCCTTCCCACAGGGCATTTCTCCTGAGATGAAGCTGGGTAAAGAAACCTAATTCCCTTCCTCCTCCTCCTCCTTCCTTCTCGAGGGAACAAACTATACTCAGGGCTTTCCCCTCCCAAGCAGATCCTTGTCACCAGAACATGCTGCCAGCCCGGCATGCTCCCACCAACACGGGGCAGGCTTGGTGGCAGCTCATCCCTTCTGCCTGCGGAGGGGCAGGGAGACGTCCTCGGGGTCTGGTGAGGCTTGTGGGGGAGGCAACGACTGAAATTGTCCTTCACAAGACGACATGAGCCGCTTGGCCTTTCCGCACTGCCTGCCCAGCTCTGAAGCCAGCTGGAGCGGGCTAGGAGAAGCCAAATGTCTCTCAGTGTCCCCAAGAAGTATCTGGCCTCACAGGCCAGGGACTTGGGTGGCTTCTAGTGACTGAAATGGCCTGGGACAACGTGCTATTTGACCCAAGAGAGGACTGGCCAGGCTACTTTGGGCTGTGCTCCAGCCTGTGGCTAGCACGGGTGACCAACCCCCCAGGAGAGCTCCAGCTCCTCGCAAAGGCAGGGACGAAGCGCACGTTGCTGCTGGAGGACAGACGCGCTCACGGCCTCGTGCGCGGGCTGCGGGCTCTGCAAGGCAGTGCTGCTCCATCCCTGGGAGCTACAGGAGGGCAGGGAGCTGGGATTACCTTGTGAACTAAGCTATCCTCTGCAGCTGGGGCTTACGGACACGCTTTCCCCCGGGCAGGCGCCGTTTCCCAACACTCCACGGCCGTGCCGGGCACTCTGGCTCAAGAGGAGCTTGTTCCATCGGAGCCTGCAAGGCTCTGCAGCACCAACACCGCTTTCTAGGCACGGCCATATCTGCCGCTCCTCCCACACCAGGTCCTCTCCATGCTGGGCTTGCAGCAGCTGGAGCCATTCTGCATCTTCTCTTTCCTTCCCTCCTCCCCGGAGGGCAGGTCTGGGCCAGAGCCAAGCCCCAGCTCAGACAAACTCTTCTGCCACAGACCCGCCACGGGGCTGCAGACAGGACCCAGAGCTCTCCTGCCACAGCCAAGTGCCTTTCTTTCTGCTCCTACAGCACACATACAAGTAGCTGATATGCACGGCTGGAAAGAAGGAGCTTTGATTTAGCCAGACTGCTGGGGAACCATAAAAATTTGCTAAAATTTGGAGCGGACCCTTCAAACACAGGCTCTCCAGGGAAGCAAGAACCTGCAGAATGGCTCGAAGCAGCCGATGACTTCCCACGTCCGACTGGCACTTCCGAAACCCAGCTTCAAGCAGGAGGGAGACGGGCAGGTACGCAGTAACACAGGACCGGGGGAGAAGGGACACGTTTGGCAAAGGCTGGCTCACTTCTGGAAAGGGAAGACAGCTTACAACACCGAATCCACTCCCATGTCTACGCAGATTACAATGAACAGCACTGAGTTTGAGTAAGGTGATTTTGTTTTCCAGTTTACAGAATGCAGTCTTGCCCTTTTTTTTAAAAAAAAACCCCCCAAAACGTAGAAATGACCAAAAAAAAAATCTATATAAATACCATATATACAATTTAGAAAAAAAACAACAAACAAAAAAACCCCCAAACTCCCAAAACTTCCAGAAAAGATCTTCCCTCCGGGTCGAGCGTTAGGAGTGACAGCAGAAGGGACAAAGCTTTGCATTCAGCAGGGACAATAACAATTCCAACAGCCTCTGGGTTTGGGAGTGACCAGGAGTGGCAGAGGAGACGAGGCAAACCCCGGCAGCACGAGGCCAGAACGGTTTTCGGGCGGAGGGGAGGCAGCAGGAGGGCAGAGGACAGATGATATGGCCATGAACGTGGAAGGCCCACAGCAGTATTCAAGTAATGGGAGGGTTAAAACCCTAACGAGGCGTTTGTTTTAAAAGAACACTCTGGGTTTGAGGGCTCTCCTCCTCTCAGCTGAGGAGAGGTGAGCGTGGCAGCTCTGGAGCTCTGCTCCCCCGCACCGTGAAACTGGGGGGGCTCTACAGGACCCACGATGAGAGGCGAGCGCTGAGCTCAGCGCCGGGCTGGCCGGGGGTCGCCGAGCCCATCGGTCGGCAGGATTGACCTCCCCGTGCTCCTTTTGGGGACGCACCAGCCGAACCGAGCCCGGGGAATTTGTCCTGAAGCAGCTCTGCATCGTGGAGTTCCAGTTTGCAGAAATAAAAGAAAGGCCAGACAAAGGAGCCTTGGCACAGCCTTCGCATTTACGGGGGCTCTCATCCCAGCAACCACCCAGCACCATTTCAAGGCATGGGGAAAATTCAAGTCAGGAACTAGGGTCTGGTTCTAAGCAAATCTCCACCTTGCCGAAGCAAGCCAACATCAATTTTTGCATGGTTAAGGTGTTCTTTTAAAACAAACTAATGAAAAAAAAAAAAAAAAGAACATTTGAGGTTATCTGAGTTAAAAAACTTAAAAAAAAAATAATAATCAAACAGTCCTGCAGTCAGAGTCACACACAGAAGAACCAACCCACACCTACATGCGCCAGGAACAGTAAAATGACAATATATATAAAATTAACCAATAAAGTGCATGTTCCTTATATTACACCTGCCCCTTGCATGAATGCAACACCACGGGTTCTCGGTAAGAAATCACAGCTGAGGGCTCAGGATCACATCGTATTGTAGAGGGGATTGGTTGTCCGCTTTTTATCATTGGTCTTTTTGAGCCTCCGCAGAGGGTGAGTTCTCCCGTGCTGCTGCCGGGGTGCGACAGCCAGACCTTGAGCCGGAGACAAGGAGTCCAGGACCTGAACCTGGAGCAGCGGAGGACCCTCCTCAGAGCTAGTCCACGTCGGATCCGTACTGGAAAACAAACTCTGCTGGCTGGAGCCGCACTCTTTGGCGTACTGAGCTAGCGGCCTCTCCACCGGCTTGCTCTGGGCAATGCACTCGGCTGTTCTGAGCTGTTCCACAAAATGCTTAGCGGGCTCCGGGGAGGAAAGGCGATGCTTTCTGCACGCGCTTCCCGAGCCCCTCTCCAAGCTCCCCCCGTGAAAATCTCGACCGAGGGCAACACAGGTGAGAAGCACGGGGTTGGC